CCGGGAAAAGCCTTTTTAGAATACATTATGTGTTGATTTACGGTTTGGAAAGATCAACACGAGATCAATACGAATTAATCGCTCTTATCGCCTATTGATTGTAATGAACAAATTTGAAACAACGCAATTGTTACGACGTACTTGGCCTGTTAAAAAGTGTTGATGGATTGTATGACAATAACTCCGATGCACAATAAAATATTGATTATTCTCGGACGCGATTAAGAAAATATTCAGAAAATTACCAATATTTTAAATGAACTAGAAAATATGTATTTTAATAAATATTTGTAAAAATAAGTTCTTTATTGTATTGATATTTGTAACTATTTAAGTTGCACTGTCGTCATGTCAATGATAGAGTTATTACAATCAATGTAATATACTTATTTTTTATTACTCAATTGTAATCAATTGAATAGTATAAATAAAAATATCTAATTGAATTAAAGACGCTAAATTACGTCGAGTCGAGATATACTTATTGTCGTGTAATTAATTTTAGCATAATGATTAAATTAGGTAAATTTGAAAAATGCTGTTATATATCGATATTATTTAAATTACTTAAGCATTTAACTACTAAATAAGCATAATTTGTGAACGGTTTAGCGAGAACACATGTTTGTAAATTCTTTGATGAAAATTTAATAAAACATAACATAATTACTCCACTACATAATTAACATAAGTCCAAATCAAATTTAATTTGATGCACATAATTAAGTATTTTAAGCTAAGACTACAGCAACATCTCCGTACATATGGTGTTCCTATCGTCGAAACCAGTTCTTTATGTTTCTTGAAAACATTTCAAGTGTTAAAGATTATACCGCTTTATATGAATCTTTAAATCACACAATATTGTTTTTTTTATGATTTTATTTAACTAATAAAGTTGTTTAATTTGTACACTGGGTAAAATTATATTGATCCTTTCAAATAATAATCGAGTTATGAAAAAATTGCACTAATCTAATGTCTAACTGCCCGTCCCTATTTAATTAATAACCATTAACTTATACATAAATTTAATGACTACCAACAAAACAAGATCTTATAGAAAAATACTGGTCCATTGATGGAATTTAATGGAAGTTTTTTATGTTTACTCTAAGCTCAGAATAACTTTACGTTATATAATGAGTATTCAATAAAACTAATGACATCTTATGTATTTATAATTAAATGACAAATATTTTATATATAATCCTAAAAGTATACAGAATGTCCCATCAGATTTTGACATATTTTTTGAATATTTTGCGTTATTTTTTTTTCACTGTAAAAAACTTTTTAATTTTTCTTTAAATTAATAATAATTATTTTCTAATTGTCTCGCAAACAATTTTTATAAGTTCATAGGTTTACAATAGGTCTTCATTGAGTTACATGCATTTAAATACATAAAGGGGTATGTAACACGATTGGGTACAGCTCATATTGGTGTACGTATACTCTGTCCGTATTTATAACCATTCAATGAATTTCAATGCCTGTTACTCAATAAACACTTATCCTAAAGTTGATTAAGTCATAAAATTTTTTCTAAAAACTAAATAATAGCTATTTTAAAATTAAAAAATAAAATGAATTTTTTATTAGAAAGAAATAAAAATAAAAATAAATGCTTTTAACGTGGACCAAAACTATAAAAATTATTTAAAAAATAATCAGTAGATAGTGTTTAATTTTAAGAAATTAATGAATTATTTCAAAAACAAAATTAACTCCTATTTTTTGTTCAACTTCGACTGCATTTGCACATAAAAGATAAATCACTAGGACAAATTTCATTTTTTTAACTTATAGTACGTAAATTAATTAATTTACACATATATTTAAAAGACGTAGTATTTCTGGAACATTTTCAAAAGTTAAGTGGAAATAGTTTTTATACGTATTTTGGAAGTTTTGAACGCATCTTGTATAAAGAATAATTATCCGATTTAAAAAAAAGTATGTCGTATGAAAGAATTAAATATAAAGTATTTAGAAACAAAAAATTGTGTTGATCTATATATTTTTCAAAACGTTATAGCAATTTAAAATTGAAAATATAAAATCAAAAATTTTAACACATAAATAGCATGTATTTAACTACGGCAGATTTTGTTCGTAGAAAATAAGTTGTCGGGCACAAATTTTTTTTTTTATTTATAGTGCGTAACATAAGCTTTAATTTAACATATGTTTAAAGGACGCAGTATTTTTGGAACAATTTAAAAAGTTGAAAACATTAAATTTTGTGAAAAAGCTACTATTTTGAATACCCCCTGAGGTCAAGTAAAGGCTGAGATTTTCAAAAATTTATATCAAATGAAAGGGAAATACCTAAAGTTTCTATTTAAAATAAAATTATATTTCGATTCGTTCAATTTTCAAAAATGTATGGCACTCTTAAGAAAAATATGTCATAATTTACCGATTTTAAAAATTATAATTTTTTTGGAGACTTCCAATATACTGGGAAAGAGGAAATTTTTTCAATTTTTAAGGGCAATGTCTTCAACTAGATACAATTCGTGATCTTTAATAGTATTGATCATCTGGATGCTTCGCCTAAAAGACCTAGTGGCCTTTTTTGAATCGTCAATTCGATTCTATTGTTTTAGATATACGGCCCTTTAGGTAATGTTCGATGAACGTACCACAATTATTTGTAACAATAATTTATTACTAACACATACGTTTATAGTTTGTTAATTTAATTCACTTGATGTCAATTAAGTTTAAGTAATTCACCAAAATGGTATAAATAATTTAATTATAGAAATTCTAAAAAACAATGTACGTACAATTGCATACAAGTTAAATTAAAAATTATTAATACACTTTTAACAACAATACTTAAATTTCCGAAAATAAAGTGCTATGTATATTTTATATTATAATTTAAATTTATTTATTTATATTTATATTATTAATTAATATAATAATTAAATAAATTCGGTGTTAATTTAAAATTATATTTTAGGTAAAAATTTTTAAATAGGTAAGTGTAAGGGTCAAATATTTCTATTATTATAAATGTCCACCCTACATTAATTAATACAAGATAATAATTTTAATCACTGTCAGATATTATCTATACTTGTCCCAACTATCCTACATCTAAACTATGCCACGACCTCACTGTGCTAACGTCCTTAAATTTTTTTAATTATTAGGATGATTGTACTCAGCTGATTTTCGCTTATGTATAAAACTATAATTTATCATTTTTGAAAAATTAAATAATAGTTACAAATTTATATTCTGTATTTAATTCATTTTTTTATGCATTCAATTTAACTCTAAGTATTATATATTAATATTTTAATATAACTATTTCATGATATTTGTTAAAACTAGTAAAATTGTTCACCTAAAATGAACAAAATCTAAATAATTATATGATATTTTTATCGATTGATTTGTATTTGGTTAATAAAATATTATTTGAATAAAAACCCTGTGGCGGATAATAAATCAGTTTATGTAGAATATTTACTATTTAAATACTAAAATGATACTATTTGATTTACATATATCTTTAATTTTAGTTTTTTTACTAAATAAATTATAATCGTTTAAATTAGAAGCCAAGCTTAGATATATATAATATATATTTGTACAGGTGATCAACTTTTGATATAAGTGACGTGTTTCTATATTGTGAGATCATTGAAATAAGTTTTCATTACAGTATAGTGATACATAGTAATTAAAATGAGATTAATATTGTGCATTTGTATTATTCTAACAACCAATCGATATATAAATTCAACAAGTAAATTTGGAAATATTGATAACATAAAAAATGAAAGAATAATTACTCCTAGTGGTTTTGAACTCTATAGTGATTCCAGTAGAACCCAAAACAGTATATACAATTTTTTAATGCAAGTCAGAGCATTGAAATACTTGTATTTATTCTGGCAATATGGTAAGTTAGTGAGTGAGTTTGAATCACCGAAAAATTTTGTAGACATAATGATAAAATCCATTATAACAATAAATTCTAATTTTGAAATCAATTCGGTAAATAATTCGTATATAATTAATTTATTGCCTGGTCTGAAAGATTATTATAACGATACTGAAAAACATTTAAATCCAGAAGCAACTAAAAAGTTTTTTGAAGACATACATGAAACCATTTACAAAGCGATTTTTCAAATATACAGACAAAAAAATCCATCTGATTTGGTAAAAAATGAACAAATCGAAAATTTTATTAAATCGAATGATTTTTATGAGAGTATAATCGATTCATTATTTAAGGAATATTTTCCACCGTCCGAAAATTTTAATCAAGAGAAACGCAGAATGGCTCTAAACTTATTTGGTCTAAAATTTTTTGCAGAGTACAATATTATAATTGATAATAATAATTATTGAATAATTAATAATAATGATTAATGTTATTTAATAATGATTATTAATAATAAATATTTTTTTAAATAATTATATAAATATATGTTAAAAATGTTCGTTGCTGTTAAATGAGTCAATTGTAAACATTTTTTAAATATTCTACAAATAATTACAAAATATATTTCGTTTATTTTTACTGTATATTTATTAATCATGTTAATATTTGCATTAAGTTAGTAATTGTGTGAGAAATAAATCCTAATTGTTAGCATTAATTCTTAAACTTTAAAAAAGTACTAATTCGTTAAATTGTGATATAATTTTTTGGCGAAGGTCGAATAATTTCGACTATTGCCCGTGAGCGTTTTAAAATATCCACTGTTTTCGATAAAAATGCTTTCTGACCCAAATGTTTTTTTTTTTTTAAGTCTAGCTGCAAACCGAAGCTAAAAAGTAACGCAAATTATTTACTGAACAAATAGTTATCAAAGATTTATAGATATATAATAAATATTATGATGTTATTAGGATCGTTGTTAGAACACAGTAAACGCCATCAAATATATGAGTCTATATTTTTTATACAAATATAAATATTATTTAACTCTCACTGAAAAGTAAAGTAAATCTAAATATCTTACCTGTGGGTCCATTTAAATTTGTAGAAAATGGTGAACAAGCTGTCAAAGGTAGAGATAATTTCATGTTATTGCCGGTGCCTCCAATTATAATAGCTGGATCAGGTGGTGACGTTTTCATGTCTCTACATAAACTTGATACTGAGAAATCAGTGCACTTAGTTACTGAAGTAGAGTTGGCCATGATGAGAGGACAAAAACAAATTGACTTTATTGCTTCAGCTAGTACAAAAGCCTAAAACCACACAGACAACTGATTATTTAAAAAAACTGGCTAATTCAGATTCTTTTATCATAATTATAAAATGTTTTCATTTTTACAGTGTCCAAACACTCTCCACTTAAATTTACTAGCTAAATTTTGGGTAGTAACTGCATTGAAATAAGTGCAAATCATTTATATTTAGTGTTAATCCCTTCAATATCTTAAGTGAGTACAATGTGCACCAACATGATAAGGTCCTTGCACGTACAAAAAAAAAGTAAAGAATCAAATTTTACAAATTGGATTACACTGATCAGAACGTCCTAATAACATTATTAAATGCAGCTCAGAAGACGATTACTTTCTTGACCCCGAGGCTTGTTCACCTGCATTATTTATTTTTATTTGATGGAATTCCAACGATTTATTTCACTTAAAAATATTGATTTTTTAGAAATTTAAAATCATTTTATTTTTATAATAACATAATTCAATTTTATATGATATTGAATGAAATGTAAAGAAGAAAAATAAATCAATTATTAAAACAATAATTATAATAGCTCATTATATTTTTATCTCAAGCAAATTGAAATATAGGCAATCTGCCTATATTTCCAGACACTATCCTGTAACCTTTAAACAATAATAATAATGTTGATAATAATTATCGGTTGGATTAAATTTTTTAATTAATTATCAATTTTATGGAAACTATCAATAAAATTAAAAATTTTCTTGTAACTAGTAAAATTGTAAAATATACAAATTTTAATGTTTATAAACAAATATATGCGCTGTAATAATAAAATCAGGACCAGCGATGGGCAATACAATCAATACTTCGGAGCTTAGATAGCTCCTGCAAAAATGAAGATTCTGAAAAAAGCCTTAATTACAAAACATAAGAAAACTCACAATTTTGGCACTGAGTAAAATTCTACAACTTAATAAGCTAAATGAATACAATTACGTCAATATGAAATTAATGAAAAAATAATTATAACATACTAAAGTTAAAATTAAGAAAAAAAGTGTGTTTCTTTGCTTTGGACCAATGCTTGAGTATTAAATAAAAGAACAACACAGCGCGTGAAATTAATTACTTCTTCTGATATAAGAGTGTTCAAAGTGGTAGCTATTAATTTAAAATCCTTGTCTTTTACCGACAATTCATCTATTACAGTCTTCACTCATTTTATTTTACCACTAACTTCACAACTACTCGATGATTCGTCAACAGTTATTTTATGTCAAAGGATTCGACATATAATTGGCATTTGGATTGTTACGTAGAGAGAAAAACTATAAAACAGAATGTATAGAATATATAAAACGTTACTGTCAGCCAAACAACATAATTACATTATATCCGTTTCATTTTTTTATTGTATCCATTGGTTATTGACGAATAAACGTTCAATAAAGTATATTTGAACCGGATCAAAGGAAATCTCATGGAATTGTACCTGACACACGTTTCGAAAATTGTGGCACGTTTATTTTCTAATTCGTATACAACAGTTCGAATGGCACTTAACTCTTTTCAATACTAATAATAAAATAAAATCATTATATTATCCGATGCAACCGCGCGGATTTTTCACTTCATTTAAGAAAATTCGTTCCGGATACGTGCTGGTCACTGGCGCGCGTGCTAGGCAAGTCTGGTACTTTTATATATTTTTTTTTTTTACCCATATCTAAAATATAATAAACGAACCTTTTAAATGTTTATGATCATCTGGTCATTTTAATGACGTTTCCTGATATGTCTGCCTAATCAATTGTTTTAGTTATATGAAATCGTGGAAAAACTTGAATTTGATCTTGCAACATAAATTGTTTTATTTTGCACTGCGATTGTAACACACTTATATTTAAAAAACTTAAGAACGGACAGCTAGATCAGTCTGACGACTGCGATTTACATGGAAACTAACGCGATCGTGGGCGGCAGACGTGTTCGACCGGACGCGATCACTTGTTAAACTACCAAACGGTACGAGGTGGCGATTAGAAGATGTGCCAAAGAATATGGGCGGTTTCTTGGTGGACAGAGAGGGGCAGAGAAAAACGGGTCCGCAGCTGTTCCGCCTTGTGTGTGCGCGCCTTGGGTAATTCCAAACGCACACCAAGACAATAACGTGATATATAGCAGTAATACGCGCGTGCGCTCACAGTCGGGCGTTTCTCGAGGGTACAGGTGTCCACTCGCTGACGCCCGACAGCAGGCTCCACCCAGTTCCGGACTCTGTCCCATGATGAACGTCCCACGGCCGTTACGGCTCACCTGCAACCAGGACGTTACGGTCTTAGATCTACGCCTTTTAAACTCTATTGGCTTTTTAAACAGTACCTAGTGGACATCGATTATGTAATTGCATAATGATCATCATGTCGTACAATTCTGATGTTTTCTAATAACTTTTTAACGCGATATTTTTTATACTTGCGTACGTAAAACAAATTAAGTTATTCATTGAGTTATTATCAATCAATAAATACAATTAAAAATATTGACAAATCAATTTTTAAGTTTATTAATAACTGGCGCGTATCTATCGTGCATTTACAAGAGAAAACGGTTAATAAACTCTTAAATAAATATTGTTATTTTGTACACAATAAATTAAACGAACACACTAAACTACGCTCTACAATAGTAATCATTGGCATTCTTTCCGGATTTATGCCTGGTCGAATTTTTTTTAAAGAATCTTATCACCGAAGAGGAACAAACAGATGTTTTAATTAGATTTTACAGGACTCGTAGTTTTCATTAATGTTTGGGACTCTATATTAAAAATTTTGAACTTTTAAATATCTTTCAAGGAAGATGACCAATTGAAAAATTTGAGAGTTTTTCGATTAACTACCCCCAAAAATCTAACTAACACCAATCAATGCCTTAAGCATGAATCTTGCTATATTTACTCTTATTTTAACAAACAACTTTGAGATATATAACCAATGTTAAAGATCAAAACATTAATAAAAAATTACATATTAGAGACGTGGTAAAGTGAAGCTACGGCTTAGATTGAAATTTAACAGTGATCTGAACGCACGTCATTACGCCAGGCCGAGTTCTAACAATGCTAATGTATTTTTACACGAAACTCGGTTTTTCAAACCCCAATATATATGTTGCCTCTAAAGATCATCTATAGAAATTTAAAACAGATTAGCCTCAATTAGTTTATGACAATTAAAAAAATTTATTTCTTAATGTTATATTATTTTAAAATGGGATAATTTTGACGTTTTCATTTTTGTTACTAAGTAAAAAGAAAAATCTGAAAATTGTTTTTATCTCTAAATAAACGGTCTTGCAAGCAAAAGCATTAATTAAGGGCACCTGGATAGGCAGTTAACCGTTGTGATTTTTTAATGACTTGTAGTATATTATAAAATTTTTTATTTTAGAGATATTTATAGGTGTTAGTTTTTACGAAACATTTACAATAGTTAAGTTGAAAAAGTTCTATTTTTCAATGCGCATGTTTCAAATTTTGAATCTCATAAATAGAATGAGTGGATCAGTTTACCAAAAACCTTCAGGTTATCAGCTTTGTTTCGAAGCTAAAAATTTGAGTTATAGCTTAACAAATTTATTAAGTCTATTAATTCTAAGATCTTTTTATTGACAACAAATAGTTTTAGTATATTATAAAATAGTGTTAACTATAAAATATATATTTATATTAGTGTTAAGCCATGATTTCATAATAGGGGTAGGAGAAAAAAATCCATATTATAATCAATTTTTTTGCTCACCACTTCATTTCAAAGATGAATAGTGATGTTAAAGGAGAAGGCTCAGATCCCCTTGGCTCTCCCTGCTACGCCGCTATTTTTATTTTAGTATACTTAAAGTAAAATATGTATTATATTTAAGTTTGTGGTTTTGAGGTTATTATTATAAATTCTCACGCTTTGTTGAATGATCCTGTCTCTAAATCATATAATATTTCCATGTTCTGAACATAATTATTATTCACTACTTGCTACTTAGTTATCAACGAATTAATAACATCTCACTGACGTCTATTTCCGTTTTAGACGTAAGAATATCAAATAAAGCATATTTTAAATTAAATTTCACACGCACTAAATCTATTATAAATAAACGGGAAACATTGATAAAATACTACATTTATTCCTATCACTTTTTTTCTCAAAAATACAGTTTTAAAATTACACTAATAGCTTTAACGGTATTAATAGAAATTTAGTATTAGATTTTAAGATAATGAACTTTTTCAGCGGAAGTGATCGATTATTTAAAAAAAAGTGTTACATTAATTGGTCGCGATTTTAAAAATCGAATGTATCCAATTATTTTGAAAGATACAAGTGTGATATTTTTAAAACTTAAGAAATTTTATTTGTATCTGTAACTCATTCGCTTTATTGAACTAATATGTATTTAATATTTGATGAAATTGCGTATATATTGATAAAAAAACATCCAACTGTTATATAGAATAGAAATAGAGGTGTATTTTCATACATGCGTGATACCGTTCATTGTAAGGATCAATATCTACATAAGTAGTAAGACATAGAAAAATATAGTACGAGGCTATAGCAAAGAAAAAAATGATTTTTAACCGTCGCGGCTACTGATTCGGAAGTAAAATACACGTCGTTTTTGTAAAACAATACATTAGTAATCACATTTGAACATTAGAAAGTCGTCGAGAATACACACAAAACAGTTGTAGCAATTGGGCCTAACGAGTATTCAGGATGATACTTAACCTTTTTTAACGGTATGTTTGTGTGTGCAATAACGATTGTTGTCGTTTTAAACATTTCAGTAACAATGCGTGACGCGCACACAATACTTAACAACCGGTTGAATGTATTACTGAGAATATCTTTACACCCCGATAATACTAAATCAGTGTTATCTCATCTGTGAAAATACTTAATTACCGACCTCCTCCGATAGTTAAAACCCGCCAGCAATAAAACAATACTACACTATTTGTTAATTATAATAATTTGTTTAATGTCTTTACAAACATAAAATGTAAATTATAGTTAATTATAAGTAACTATTTAGGTCTAGTTTTTACAAAATTTATATGTACTTTCATTGCTCTTTGTACAAGCAGTTGATCGTTTTTAAAAAGAGTATTTGGCCTTCAAGCGTATACAATTCACCTAAATGCAATTTCATTGAGATTATGAAAAAGTCATTAATAGTAACTCACATTTTACGCGCCATTGAATTAGTACAAATAAACGCGAATAATAAAAATTAAATCAAAGATTTTCAAATGAGAAATTGATGATGCACACATCTAACACACATGTATGCATCAACGCTTAATTAATATATTATTTATACTCTAGTCACCACTGGAATAACTAAAAAAAAACTGTACACATAAACGTAAGATTTAATCATTAACAACAATAATTTACGGTTGTATGGGTACATAATGTACACGCAACTGTACAAAAAATGATGAATGAAAATAGTAGTAAAATAAAGGAAACTAATGAATTCTATAGCTACACATATGAACGTTACATAATTATAGTAATTTATACGTCGGTTAATAAAGGTAAAAAATGTAGCTAATATTAACCTAGTAATATTGCGTGAATGGGATATAATACAAAAAATGTCATAATATTAATAAATCCTAATTTGTCTATTTTTTGGTTTTACTTAACCTGTTTTTTGATCTTTATTTATTAAAACAAATAATTTAAAACAGTCATAAATTGAAATTTTAATTTTAATTCTTAAAAGTTTACTAGTTAATTAAAGAAAATTGATTTCAACGTTATAATTACATAAACCGATAAAAGTAAACGTAGGAAAGAGTTTATAGTCGCAGCCTCCACTTTAAAAACAAGCCCTCTAAACAATTCAGAAATTGAATAGAATTATGATAAAAAGAATTTTTTTGAACAAGAAAAATTTAGATTATTTTCCCAAAAATGTCTAATGATAAAACTAATCATACCTCCTCTAACCCCAAGTTGACATTTTAAAATTTTAATAACTTCCTAAACAATGTTTTGGTCTTCAATCTTTTCTACTTTTATGTAATAATGATCATCTTCTTTTATGTGAGCTACTTAAATGTATGTGTAACTGTTTAAAAAAATTATTATATTTTTATAAAGAATAAGGAATTATTAAAAAATAATTAATGATTGATAAATCAAGAAATATATGAAATTAAAAAGTGTTTAAAAAACAATTTCAATATTGTTATTAATTAAGAAAAATTGGATGATTAACGTTAGACAATCGTTTCTTCGATGATTTTTGTATTAAAAGAATAATCCTGTATATTTATATTAATTATTTACAATAATGATTTTCTTTACTAGGTAATAAAAACTTATTCTTGAGTTAACACGCATGGCATTATCGCGTGACTAATGCTCAAATGAACCACTAAATAACATTGTAAAAACATACAAAAACTACAAACTATAATATCGATTTGTAACTCAAACACATCACAAATCTACATTTTAATATAATTTTATGGTTAAATTTTAATTAAAATACCCAATATTGTGGGTTCCTTTAAAGTAGTTACTATAAATAATTAGAAACAAATAACTATTGTGAAAAATCAACATATTTACAACTTGCCATAGCCGTTATCTGCAAATGTTCTTAAATGTGTATTAAATAAACATGACTAAAATTTTTAAAAGTTCGGTGATGATAAATTTATTTTCCTATACTTAAAAAATATTATAATGCTTACCACTTCAGTATTAATACGATTCAGCATTAACTTTTTACCGGACTTAGTTGAATTTTTGGATAGATAATCGGTATAGAACATATACTATAATAATTGAACATGAACTTTTGAATAACTGTATTAATGAAGCAGTGACATAAATAGTAGAGATGTTTCGAGTAGTAACTACACGTACTAACCGAGTACCGAGTAAAAGCCAGATAAAAGAGTTATTACAAACCAAGAACAAGCTTAGTAGCCACATTTTCAGTGTAAATGAAAAATAAAAGTCAAAATATTAAATT